AAAAAAAAAAAAAGTTGAAGGGAAAGTCGGAAAGAAAAAGCGCGTGGCGGACGGCACTTCAACCACTGATAAACCGATAATTTAAACTTTTAAAATTTTTCTTCTATTTTCATTAAAAAATCTGAAAGTTGAGTGATTCTGCTTATATCAAAATTGCGAAACCATTGGCTGATGCTAGAATTTTCACGAAAAATATCAAAGTCCTCACGAGCTCCATCCCAGAGACTACATTCAAAAACAACTGCAGAAATTAGAATTAATTAGTTTAATCTTGTAAAAGTATGCTGTATCGTAAGTGCATCCAGTGAGGATTCTGTTGATTAGCTTGGTTTTTTGAGCACTCAAGGTCATGGGCGTAGCCAGGTGGGGGCAGGGGGGTGCTCGACCCCCCCCCCCCTAACTTTCAAATTTTCCTTATATATATATAAAATTTTTTATACCAAATTTTGTTTGGACGACTGTTAAACACCTCAGTGAAAAGGTTGGGCATATTTATGGAGTATTCTAATACCTCATCATACCATCTATCCTTAATTTGGTTACCTATTTGCCTGACCGCTTCATCTACCGAAAGTTTCACATTCAAAATACTATCACCTGTAATTGCATTCTTTGCTAAAAGGTCCGCCCTCTCATTCCCAGGAATGCCCTTATGACTAGGAGTCCATATAACTACCACCCTATCAAAGTCTGCTTCCTGTATGAGCTTGTGTATTTTATAAATTAAATGATTTTGAGTCGTGTGTTTGGTTAGAAGCTGGCAGGCTGTCCGTAAATATTGTGATCTTCCGGTGTAAGTGTTTTTTGCCATTTCAAGAGCGCTGTGAATGGCTACAATTTCGCCAAAACAGGACGAAGTTTTGAAATTAAGTTTAAAGGAAAGTTCCCTTTTATCCGAGTAGCTATGCACTCCACATCCCGTGAAATTAGACCCAACTGACGCGTCTGTATAAAAGATATTAAAATCTGCTCTTTTATATTCGTTCAACCATTCCGCATAAATCGATCTGATAACTTCAGAGGACACATTTTCTTTTTTTTCTATGAGTGTTTTGGTAATTACAATGAGATTAGGTGAATAAATTTGTTCATTAACCACTTCAAGGTTGTCAAAGGTCTGCCTAAATTCATTAAACATTAAGCTGTAGCTAGATTTGACTGCCGGGTGTTGATAAAGCGATTCTTTGAGCGTCTGATCTGTGACAAAGTTATATATGAGCTCCTTTGCTGTTAGCCATTTGGCTCTTTCTTCTGGTGGAAGTTCATTGGCAAGCGCATAGATAAGGACAACAGGAGTGGCAGGCGTCAGTCCCAAGCATCTCCTCAAAAAACTATTCTGAAAAGTTCGGATCTTTTTGCTTGTGGTTTTAGCACAATACGCAGTTGAGGATCTGCAGTATTCTATTTTGCTTCGTACAACAGATTTATAATAGTTTAAAGCCACTTGAGGACGGAGCCCTACTTTAACTGTGGTAATAGCCTTAAAAAGAATTAGCTTGAGAGTTCTTGATTACCTCCTCATAGTGATCATTTGCTGTCAAAGATGCACTAAGGAACCTGCCCAAAAACTTCAGAGCCCTTACCTGCTCAACTCTTTTGCCCTGACAGAGTATTTCAAAATTGGTCTTATTCCCCTTACACAGGTACATGACCTTCGTTTTTTTTCAGGATTAAAGGCTAAATTGCTATCCGCACACAGCTGTGAAAAGTCATTTATTTTTTGTTGCAAATTTAGAGCCATCTGTTCTACATTTTTATGAAACGACATTATGATAAAGTCGTCCGCGAATTGAATAATCTTGGTGTTACAATCTTGTAAGGAAAGGAGATTTTTTGTATACAGATTGAAAAGCAAAGGAGATAAACAGCTGCCTTGGCAGGCCATCCTGAATTTCCACCGTCTCCTTACCGAGCTGAAGAGTTCTTTTTGATAAAAAATTTATAATCCATTCAATGTAGGTATCATGTATACCTGCTGTAATCATCTCTGTCTTCAAGCGATTAACACGGACACAGTTGTATGCATTGCTTATATCAGCAGAACATATCATAATTTTATATCCTTCACTTTTAAGATCAGATGCTTCGTGAAGCAATTAATTAATACCCATTGTGGCAGATTTTTTCCTTCTGTACGCAAAGGAGAATTTCGGTAACAGGTCGTTTTCTTCTAAGAAATCAGAGACTCTTTTTTTAATACAAAGATTGATACGCTTAAGAAAGACAGGAATCAAGGCAATAGGCCTGAAATTGGAGAAAATACTGAGATCTTTATTTTTCTTAGGAATGGGAACTACCTTAATTGTGCGCCACCTGTCCGTGATTTGATTGGAAAGAAACACGTTATTTAGAGCTGTTTTGACATTGTTTAGAGCTGAGTGAGAAAGCGCTCTAAGCATTTTGTACGTAATTTGATCGACTCCTCCTGCGGAATCTCTGTTCTTCGAGAACAGAATTTCGTGGAGCTCCTCAAACGTAAACGCTTGTTCATTTATAGGACAAATCTCTCTATTTATAGGATGTGCTATGTCAGATGGTGGAACTTGACTTTTGAGAAGTAGAAGATAGTTTTTGTCATTTTCCCAGGACCACATGGTATTGTTAGTACGTTTGTAATCTCCTCCCATCGCCTTTACAAACCTCCAGGCCTCACTCGTCGTAAGAGCTAGATTTAAATCTTCAATTTTATGTTTGAAACTTTGTTTTTTTGCCTCTTTTATTTTCCTTTTCCACTCATTCCTTATCTCCTGTAAAGCCTCAAAATTTTGGGGTGAAGGTGTAACCCTACATTTTTTAAAAGCAATTCTGACCAAGCGGTACATTTTTGAGAGGGAGATTCATCCCACCATGCTTTTGGCGTTCTTTTCCCCCTTAACACATACGTGGCGGCATCAATTTCTTCACTTAACGTTTCGTGAATATCCTCAAAGTTGGGCTCCAAATCTATGTCCTTAAGATTTTCCATTAATTTCTTCTTTGAGCAAAATTTGGTGGCTAAGACTGAGACTGACAAGGTTTCGATCAAAATCGGGAAGTGGTGGCTTCCTCCTACTCTAATGGGGTCTACTTTCCAGTTAAACGACAGACTGCTGTTTGTAAAAGACAAATCTAGCATTGACCCACCAGCTGACCCTATTTCATTTTGAAAAGTGTATGTTCCATCATTTAATATGACAAAATTAAATTCCGAAATAATTTTTTGCAGATTATTACCGCGACAGGACTGTACTGTATCTCCCCAGATTCTCGCTCTCGCATTAAAGTCGCCAAGTATTAAAACATTCTCCATGTTTTCCAGGTACGAAAACAGCTTCACGATTTCCTCACGGAAAGAAACCGTCTCGGTGCTGTGCGGAAAATAAACAGAGCAGATAGTTACATTTGGCTTGCAATTTTTGGTTCGCACAATTAGAATGTCATAATCCGACATAAAATTGAGCTTTTGAAATTTTATTTCTTTTTTAAGTACTCCACCGTAACCATCAGACCTATTATTTTCAATTATGTTGTACCCTATTAAGTTTCTGTGCGCTGTTTCATGTGACGTGAAAATTTCACTGAAACAACCTATGTCTACATTGTTATGGTTCATATAAAACTCTATTGCATTTAAACTAGATTTTAGCGATTGAATATTGTATTGTAATAACCTCATCTTAATTTAAGGAGAGATTTCGGCATTACATCTTATTGTTTCGGCATCCTCATAGATAGAAACGAGTTCAAAATTTTGTTTTATTTTTTGCATTTGGGAGAAAGCATCCCCTAGCTGCCCGCTGGCATTTATATTTTGCAAAATTTGAAGAAGTTCCGCGATTAGCTTCTCCAATCGGGAGACTTTACCCTTGAGGTACTCTGGCCTCTCAATGACCGGCTGAATTTGCTTCCTTTCCCTAACTTCCCTGACTACCATTTTTTGTTCCCTGCCATTTGCTTTTTCACCCATTCCTTTTTTTGTTACCGTATTATACCTGGTTCTAGTTAACTTCTTGTTAACACTCGCGTCCCTATTGCGAACATTGCTGGTATCTTTTGAAAGTGGAGGGAATACATCCTCATCCACCAGAAGTGCTTGAAACTGGTTTTCTCTGTCAGAGAAGTAAATTTGTATGGTCTCCCTCCTAGAGAGCTTTTTAACAGCCTTTACATAATTTATTTCACGTTCTTTCTCCCAAGCCTTGCGCTTCTACTTTTACCCTAAAGAGTGATCAGAGTTTCCGCAAAGGATACATTTTCTTACACAAGAGGCACCCTCACACTCATTACCTCCGCATCTAATGCATCTTTTCTTTGACTTGCACCCGTATTGCGTATGACCCAGGCGGCCACAGTTAAGGCACTGTCGCAGGGATGGGATGAAAAAGTCAACATCTAGTTTAACGTAGTCAATTACAATAGATTTGGGAATTTCTTTACCAATAAAGCCTATTTTTATCGTGGTTGTGGGCGTAAAAGAGTTGTCACTACTTTTTCGGTTGAAGCGTCTGACCGAATTTATTTAAACTGATGATATAGCTATGGCTTTGATATCAAAATCAGTGTACGAGAGTGGGATTCCTCTCACTACACCATAAGTCTCTATGGCAGAATTTGGGATAAAAGCTCTCAAGTTCATCTCCTTGATTTTTCTATTTAAAATAAAGTTGTTTGCGGACGCACAGTTAGTAAAAATTATTTTGTAGAGTGTCTTGCCAATGGCGTGGATTGATTCTTAAATGCTTTATTTGGTTGAAAAGAGTCAACCCATTGGTTCTTTTCTCATTGCCCATGTCTTTGCATAACGAGGAATCTATAAGCACAAAGTAATTACCCGTGAACTTGTTTGGGAATAATGTTATGTCTATCACTGTAGCATTTGCTTGTTCATTTTGTTTCATTTTCTGTATATCATTGAAAGACCCGTTAACCGACGCCGCCTCATCAACAGTAAAAGTCCCGTTACTCGCAGCGCTCTTTACATTTTCCACGTTTTGGTTGCTGGACAAAATACCCTCACTGGATGCACTTTCATTCCTAATCTTTTCAGAACTATGCACTTCCAACATTTGGACAATATCTGACTCTCTGTCTCTTTTTAGTCTTTTCCCAGTTGCAAGGTTGGAACTCGCAAAGGCCTTAAAATCCTCCACCGATGGTGCCTTCAACAATGTAGTCGAAACCGCCATATCGGCTTTGGATGCTCTTGTTGGCGTAAACGGCAACTTAAATAACTATTTTCACCACTGACATCACAAAAGAAAACCAATGTCTCACAAAAATTAAAAAGCAGAGTCACTCACCTGGGTTTATCCAAAAATCTGGTGAATTACAGATGATCAACTTGATTGAAATTATGATATTACGTTTAGGAAGCTTCCCACACTTAAAAGTATCAAACGGTAGGTGATGGATTTCACTAAATAATTTAAACCACGAATTAACTTGTACACTAGTACAGCTGCGCCAACAGATGCGACCATACTCGCAGATAGAGAAAGAATACAAGAGGCACATTCTGCGAAATTTTATCAGAGGTCTTCACCATTTTGGAAAGAGTATTATGTCGAAAATGGATAAGATTAACACTTCTAGTTCTGAAAATGTGCGTAACTCCAAATCTCATTTTTGCGACAACTTTGGAATTCCTGGAGTGATTGGTTGTATCGACGGCACTCACGTTAAATTTATGAAGCCTTGCCAGAACGAACATCTTTATTTTAATAGGAAAGGATGCTTCAGCATAAACGCGATGATCGTAAGTTAAAACATAAAATGACAGCAAAAATTACAAAGATAATACAAACAGTCATGTGAAAAATAATACGGACACGACATTTTCACCGGTTTTGGCTATTTTTCTTTTGTTTATCTTTTTATTAGGAGTACTTAAAAAACCTATACTTGAAACTTGCACTTTCTTACGCCAGAATTTAATGGGCTATAAAACTGCGTACTAAGGGTTTTCTAAAAATTCTTAATAAAAAGTTTATTTTTGCTGTAAAATTTTGTGGAATTTTTCTACATAGTTTGATATTTGGATTTATATGGTTTTTGTTAGATAATGAGCCGTTTTTTTATAAAAAAAAATCCAAAGCTGGTCCCTTGAAATAGTTACTATACATGCATTCACAAGTACATATCTAAAACATTTTATTGCAGATATGCGATTACAAAATGGCAATAAGAGCGGTTGATGCCTGTCATCCCGGGTCCTGTCACGATTCCTTCGTTTTCAATTTAAGTAGTGCAAAGCAGTTACTGTTATCAAAGTATGAAAGTGGAGATCGGAATTCTTGCTTACTTGGGGATTCAGGATATGGTTTGGATACTTTTTTATTAGTTCCTTACAGAGATCCAAGGGCTGGAACTCCACAGCATAAATTTAATATGCAACACTCTAAAGCCCGCAACATCGTTGAAAGAGTCTTGCAGTGCTCAAAAGCCGTTTCAAATGATTGCAAACTGTTTTGCCATATGCGCCCCAGAAAGTTGTTAAAATAATTAATATTTGCAGTGCCTTGCATAATATATGTATGTCGGTTTTATAATTTGAATGGTTTTGCTGATAACTTTTCTTATGAATTTCGCTGGTGATAATCATCCCTATTCTGCATTTCGATTACGTTCCCGCATTCCGCTCCGCTGGAATCGAACTTAGGTATTCTGCGTTACGATCGAAACGAAAGAAGAAATCGAAACAAAACAAAGAAATATTTGCCACCAAACTATAGCAGCATATGAAGTTAAAGTTTGTAAATATTTTAAAATAACTAAATATACCTAGCATCACTGTAATTTAAAAATAAAATTTAAGTGGATACATAATTATAAGAATGAAATCCATAGCCGCGGCGTTATTGCTTGAAGAGAAGAACGAGTCCCAGATTGCTGATGCGGAAGTTGAAAGGCGGAGATTTAGGGACATGTTTGATCATTTTCAGATGAGTGAAGAGTCATAAGGAATTCATCTTGAACTGTATTACTCATCGCTTAAAGTCAGTGAAATTATAAACGTTGTTGGAGCACTCCACAAGATTTGTATTTACTACAGAGTGGAAGATTTGAACGCAAATGAATCCCATTTTGAAAGCCGTCAGAAGGAGGGGAAGAACAAAGCTTATCTTTCCATAGCAAATCGAATTCGAGACAACATACGCACCTCTTTTTAAAAAGTTAGTAAAAACGAGTGCAATAATAAAAGCATCTTTTTTATGTAACTTCACATTTTATGTATGTATGTATCTATGTGCATACATCTATTAATTTTATATAAAAAAAATAAATTGTATTCAGTTGCCATTATTTGAGCAAATTTTTCGTATTCATTTATGATGACTTTTACAATCATGCACAGTATATTTTACTTAAATNGACTTCACATTTTATTTATGTATGTATCTATGTGCATACATCTATTAATTTTATATAAAAAAAATAAATTGTATTCAGTTGCCATTATTTGAGCAAATTTTTCGTATTCATTTATGATGACTTTTACAATCATGCACAGTATATTTTACTTAAATTTTTTATAAAATTTTATTATTTAAACCCACGAAAATAACAATTGAAACGTTCTCCGTCAACAAATTTGCAACTTAGAAAAACGGAACTACGATCGAAATGTGGAATAGGTATAGTCGTAAATTTCGAAGATTGATCGAAAGGAAACGGAACGCAGAATACCAAAGTTGCCAAACGGAGAAAATTTCGATTCGAGTCGAAATGCAGAATAGGGCTGAATAGCGATCTCTCTGAAGATAACAGTCGCCTACAAATTGGTAGAAGGATGAGAGATGAAATAGCAAACAGCATTATATAATTTTGTAATGAATTTTATTTGTAAAATATTTGTTAACATTAACAAAACAAAACTTATAATTTAATTAAATTGGGAACTAATAAAAATAAAAAATACGCATTTGATGCTTATAAGAACTTCACTGAGATCGTTTTCTTATACTTTTGCAAGTGTAAAGTGCAAGTATAAAGCAAGTGTATTGAATATTCCTGACCGTAATTTACTTTAGGTAAAACGATTCAACAATGTCAAAGGGGAAAAACTGCACCCCGGCTGTTCGAAAAGCAATCATAGAGTTGCAAAGGACCGGATTATCCTATAGTGCTATTGCACTACAGTTAAACGTTTCCAAAACGATGGTTTTTAATGCTTTAAAATATTTTTCTCAGTATGAAACAGCAGAAAACGTTCCTAGAAAAAAGAAAGCTAGAAAAACTTCTAGTAAGGTTGATAGGATGATCGTTAGACTGTCAAAACAAGACCCCAGGAAGAGTGCTGCTGACATCCATCAAGAAATTTCTGTTCATCTGGGAAAGCCAATTACAAAAAGAACAGTTGTACTTCGATTGGCAGAAGATGGGCTTCACGGTCGACTGGCACGGAAGAAACCATTGATAACAGCATCGCAACGACAACGCCGAATTGAGTTTGCTCGAGAGCACATATCGTGGACTCAAAATCAGTGGCGGTATATTTTATTTAGCGATGAAACAAAGATAAATAGAATTGGCCCAGATGGTAGGAAGTACGTACGGCGACCAAAACCTGCAGCATTCGACCCCAAGTTGGTCTCACCAATAATAAAGGGGGCTCAATAATGTTGCTGGACTGCTTTTCGTGGAACGGTGTCGGGCCAGTTCATCGTATTGAAGGCAATATGGATGCAGTAAAGTACGTTGAAATACTCCAAAATGTAATGCTGCCTTATGCGGAAGAGAATTTGCCGGTGATTTGGAAATTTCAACAGGACAATGATCCGAAGCATACTTCTTGTGTTGCAAAAAAGTTTTTCGATGACAATTCTGTCACTGTTCTGGATTGGACATCATCAAGTGCCGACTTAAATCCAATCGAACATCTTTGGAACGACGTGGAAAATGCCCTCAGTACGCAGAACGTCACAAATTTGGATCAATAGCTTGAAAAAGCAAAGGAAGCATGGGAATCCATTCCTGTTGAACGTTGTAGAAGTTTAATAATGCCAATGCAAAGGCGCTGTGCAGCAGTATTAAAGCAAAAGGGATTTGCAACAAAATATAAATACTTTTTTTCTTTACACTTGCAATTTTTATGTTTTTAAACAATATATTGCTTCCTTCTTAAGTATTTCTCTCAAAGGAGTTTCCCATTGCGTTGTGTTTGATATGTGAAGAAAAAGACTAAGTTTTTCGTATGGAAAAAAATCTGATATATGTTAAAAAAATTTTAAATTAATGAAGTAAAACTTAAGATTTAAGACATTTAAGTGATTTTATTAAAAATCGTCCCAAATAGGAAAATTTGGGATCGTTCTTAAGTATTTTTCAACGGCTGTATACACATGTAACCATAAGTGGGCGTAACTACGCCCATTTTCCAAAAATTTATAATATTTTTATTTTTCGTCAAAAAACTATTGTAAATATCAATTTTGACTGAATAATCTTCAGTAGTTACTAAAATATCGCAGTTTCAGAAACCGTTACCGTTATATAGGAAGTAGGCGTGGTTATTGTCCGATTTCGCCCATTTTCAATACCATCCGTCCTACGCCGAAAGGAAGTGCACGTACAAAGTTTCGTTAAGATATCTCAATTTTTACTCGAGTTATCGTGTGCACAGACGGACGGACAGGCGGACACACAGTCACCGCTTAATCGATTTCTCTTTTCATTCTGATCATTTATGTATACATTTGTCTAATATCTATCTCGATTCGTTTTGCCTGTTACAAACAACCGTTATGTGAACAAAGTTATAATACCTTTGTGCACAAGTGCGCTATTTTGTTGAACACTGTACATAGTTTAACATAAATTTATACTTTTCGTTTCTATGTATTTTCTTCTGCTGAATTTCCACCAATTTTTGTTGGATACGATTTTTCTCAAACAAATGTTCCTGCCTTACCAAGTAATGTTTACGTGGGTCTTTGTTCTGCTCCGCAATTAGAGCGTTTTGCTTCGATACCAAATCTGAGGTTTTTTCGATAGCCTTGTATACTCTACGCAAGCCACTATTGAATTCAGATATCATAAGAACATGCTTTGTCGAGTTTTCTAGGATCTCCTTTGTTGTTTGTGCTTTGATTTCCATTGCACCTACTTCACTGGCCATGTTTTTCTTGATGCACTCGTTCATGGTATTTTCTCGAACTCGCTTTCGCGGAAGAGGGGATTCGATATTCGTATTGGTAGTATCTAATTCCGCAACTTCCACATCAACGATGTCATCTACCACAGCTTCACCTGCGCCATACGATTGGCTGCTTGCGATTCCTTCGATCGCGGTATAGAGGCCACAGAGTTGTTCTATGGTTTCCTCAGTATCTGAGAGAATGAATTTTTTAAAAGGGCCACCTCCGGTTGCCCGATCTTCATTTTTGTTATGCGCTAGTTTTTTCCTTATATTTCCTTTCCAGTCGGACCACAACTTGAAAAGAACAAACATATGTGTATATATACAAAAGTACGTAATAGGTAAATGTCCAGAATAAACAACCCGCTTATTCCAACTGAAAGATTATTGCTCTCCATGACTAAATTGGTATTTTTTTTTTAATAATTTCCAGGCATAGCAAAGCCTGCTTAAATTTTCAGGAGCCAATAGCGAGCGTAGATTTCAGTGAATATGCGGTGTCTTTTGTACATTGTTAAATCATGGATCTCCCTCACTTTTTTCCAACCATTCACGTCTTTTTGTGGCGGCCCATCCTTGTTGAGTTGTTTGGATAACTCTGACCACAAGGATTCCACTCCTACTCGGTCCCCTTCAATAAAATTCTTGGCCAAGTCTCTATGTTGCTCCATAAACGTCAAGAATGTATTTTCCTGCTTTTCTTTTCTATTTACCCCTGTTAAATAAAGTAAAATCGATACATTTATTTTAAGTAAAAATGCGATCAATACTAACATTTCAATTTTATTACGCTGCAGATAAAAATACAAATTGAGTTTTTCTGTATTCTGAAGCTTCACCCGCCAAAAGTAATATCAAATAAAAACGCCATAACGTTTCGATTTCATGTTCGAAAATTAAAATCGAAATCGTGAAACTCAGAACATGCCATAGGGAATTGACCATTAAATTCATGCGAAAACGTTTTGCAGAACATGGCCGAAAGAAGTACAAAACCAAAAGAGGAGTACATTTCCAAATTTTTTTTCTTTTGGAGTACAAGGGAGTACAGTGCAGGCGTACGTTTACTCCCAAAAGCAGTACGTCTGGCAAACCTACACAGTGTTGCCAGGTTTTCGGCATAAGAAAAAACGTCATTTCCTACCCAAAAAGTCTTTTCCATGTATGAACACAGAATTGTTCTTATTAAACTTTTGTTGTATACAAAGGTACATATGTACGTAAGGTATATCAAAATGTTATTTCGGCAGAGCACATTTAAAATTCATTAGTGGCATTCACCAAAGTGAGCAAGTGGCCTGGTACTCTGGAAAAACAGCAGATGAGCTCAAGCAATGACTGTTGACAAGTTGGTGAATACCACTATTGTAAACTGGTTTGAGATCGTTAATATAAAAATCATTTTAAACATACACTTGTGATCAACTGTTTTTCTTTTGCTTATTTAATGTTCATTACTTTTCATAAAAGCCTAGCTCATTATATAACTAACACAATATAAATCCACATTTCAAACTCTGTGCAAAAATTATAAAAAATATGCAAAGTTTCAGCTAGATTTTCAAGTTTTTATTCAGATTTTGTATAATTTTTTTGAGTATGCAGTTTGATAGCCCATTAAATTCCAGGGCAATAATGCGCAAGTTTTAAGTTGCTAAAGAATCGCGTTGATTTTTAATATTTTTTTTCTTATAGAAATTTGGTTAGGTGGTCGGTTGTCGAAAATTCTAAATTACGTTCTGCTAAAAAGGAACATAGTGCTTTTGCGAGCGTGCGTGTTGCAATAGATCGGCTATTCTTGATTTGGCTTTTAATATGCAATTGCAAACATTGTATTGGCCTTACCGCGACAAGGGGCGCTGGCGCGGCGGACTTTTGAGATCCCCTACGAAAATTTAGACCACTGAGCTCGCCTTGTCGAGCAGGTGGTCGTACGAACTAGATGATGACAAAAACAACAAAAAACAACAACAGAAAAACCAAAATTTGACAACAACAGCCACAACAACAGCAAGTACAGCAACAATAACACCTGCGGCTTCAAATGCGGTAGGTGCAACAGCAACACGCACAACAGAGGCCAAGAAACAGCAGCGCGTGGGAAGGCCCAAGAAGTGCTGGGCGGAAAGGCAGTTTCCTAGACCAGCTAACCGACGAGGAGGCAGCGCTGTTCATCGAACATGCAAGGGACGATGACCAACCAGGAACCAGTGCAGATGCGCTAAGTCGCATGGGCCAGAGCAAAACAGGTAGTTCTAATAACAGAAATTTGACAGGAAATCACAATTTACCTGCCGAACTAGATCGGCCGCAACACCGGTCCGGCAGTTCTCTTTGCAGGTACAGAGAGACAGCAAAGTCAGACAGCAGCCACCGCACCGATGGTAGTCACCGCTCCAAGAACCGGCATCGCTCGGGTAGTCGGCGTCGCTCTACGAGTCGACACCGCTCAAAGAGCCGGCAGCGCTCCAAGAGCCGGCGCCGCTCCGAAAGCGGTCACCGGGCGGAGAAGGAGAGACTCCATAGGTCGCACAGGAGTAGCGCCTCAGCGGCGTCCGACGACTCCGGGTGGCAGAAGCAAAGGAGTAGGAAGCACCGCAGGGCCAAGCCTCCTCCGATGCCGCGGCCAGGTCAACCGGGGTCCCTAGACTATCGGCTTCGCGAGGGCTTAAGCGGTTCCGGGGTTAAATGGTACCTCCGGTACCTCGGGCAAGGCAAGCCCTCAGTTGAAGCCAGAGCCATGGCAGAGGTCAGAATGGAGATTGGGAATGAGGGACGTGAGAGACAGAAAAGGCGACAAACCCGCACCCGCCGATAGGTGGAAGAGTGGGCCCAACAAACAGGCTCACTTACCCGCACCTGCTGAAAAGCAGAAGAGCGGGCCACAGCGACAACAGCAGCACAGACCCGCGCCCGCTGAAAAGCAGAGAAGCGAGGAACCAACAGGCTCCAACAAAAGAGGTAGCAACCAGGTCACTCCGCCAGAGACACCGGGCACCAAACGGCAGCGGGAGCAGCCACCCCCTCAGCCTGGTCGGGCCGATCGAGCAAGGACAGGCGCAGGGGGGTTCCACTCAGCAACCCAGCTATTCGGAAGCCCTCAACGGCATTCGGGTAGCGGTGCTGCCTTGTGAGTACCCTGCTGCTGCCCTGAACTCGGAAGACCTAACCAGACTCCAGGATGCCATCATGGAAGAGGTTTTCAAAGGATGGTCGCACCCGCTGGTGTTCTGTGGTGTGTACTTCAGATCCGGCATGCTCCTGGTGGACTGCAGGGACGAGAGAACAGCAACCTGGCTGGTGAAGAAAGCACCGGCACTTGAGGGCTGGAAGGGACCCGAGATGTGCACGAAGAGGGGGGATGACATCCCTCCAGTGCATAACATCACGGTGTTCCTGCCAAGAAGCGCCGACAAATCGGCGGAGTTTGCGTTGGGGCTACTAAAAGCGCAGAATGAGGGCATCCACATCTCTGCGTGGAAGGTAGTGTCCAGCTCTGTAGAGGAGAACGGGGTCAGACTATTTCTGGGCATAGATGAGGAATCGTACGTCAGCATCAAGAGGGCTGGCTTCAACCTAAACTATAGGTTCAGTTTCGTCACGGTGAGGCCGTGGCGCCAAAAGGCAACAGATAGCAAGGAGTCGGAGTCGCAGGAGACGCAAATCGAGGCGGCTGCCGACTCCTCCGCTGCCCAGGCGACCTAGTCCACCTCGACCTTACCGGCGGAACAGCCACCCCTCAGTCAGCTACCCCTCACCCAGACACCAACTCCAGCAAGCACGTCCGAGCCAGCCACCACCACCAAGCCAGCGGAAGACGTGCCATCCACGCAGGAGTTGCTATCAGGCATCGACTTCAGGCGACTTCAGCTCGATAGGAGAAGCGAGAGCGAACTACAGCTCTCCGATCTCGACGAGCCGCAACTATGACCACGCGTCACTTAGCAGTAGCCCAGGTCAACCTGCATCATGCGGTGGCTGCTTCGGCGGTCATCTCCAGCAGGTTCGCCACGGATGACCTGGGCATTCTACTGATCCAAGAGCCGTGGACCTACAGAGGCCAGGTTAGGGGCCTCAACCACAACAACAACAAGGTAATTTGGGACCTCTCCTGCGAGAGGCCCAGAGCATGTGTGGTGCTTAAGAAGAACATTGATTACTTTTGCATTACAGAGTTTCTAACACAGGACTTGGTCGCAGTGCAGACGACGCTCTCGTTAAGTGGCAGAAGCCTAGAGGTGGTGTTTGCCGCGGCCTATTTTCCGGGGGACAGCAACTACGCCCCTCTGCAAGAGGTATAGCAGCTAGTGGAATTCTGCAGAAAGAGACGGCTCCACCTCATCATAGGGTGCGATGCGAATGCCCACAACGTTGAGTGGGGCAGCACGGATACGAACCGCAGAGGTGAGTGTCTCCTAGAGTACATCTTAAGTGAGGAACTAAGCATCCACAATGTTGGCCAAACACCGACATTTGTAACGAGGGCTAGAGAGGAGGTACTAGACATCACGCTTAGCAACAGACTGGCTAGCCCTCTGGTCACCCAGTGGGGGGTCTCATCGGAGCCCTCACTGTCAGACCATAGGATTATCCAGTTTGTACTGGGAGTAGAAGTCAAAACTAGGCAGGCAAACAGGAACCCCAGGAAAACTGACTGGACAAAGTACAACGAGACTTTAGAGTCAAACCTGACTGGAATTAAGTCTAGGAGTAGGTACACTAACTGCATGAGCCTAGAGAGCACCGTCAATGAGTTAAATGGCGCTATTGTAGATGCCTTTAACTCAAGCTGCCCGGAGACAAAACCAGGAGGGAAGGCATCAGTCCAGTGTTGCTGAAGCAAGGCAAGGAGCTCCTACTTCCACACCTCGTGAACATCATGAGGGCTAGCCTAGCGCTCGCTCACATCCCTGAGGTTTGGCAAAGGGCTCGGGTTATTTTTATCCCGAAGATAGGAAAGAGAGATTATTCTCTAGCTAAGTCCTCAGGCCGATAAGCCTTACCTCCTTTGTGCTTAAGGCGATGGAGAAGGTTATCGACCATGAAATCAGGAACAACACCCTTAAACAGGTGCCTTTACACCCCGACCAACATGCCTACAGAGTGGGCAGGTCTACGGACACCGCACTGTACACCTTGTCTACGGTAGTACAAGATTCCTTTGAGTGTGGTGAAACAGTACTCTGTGCCTTCATCGACAGTGAGGGGGCGTTTGACCACACCTCTCATATTAGTGTCGACCGGGCACTTGAAAAACGCAATGTGCAGGCAACGATCCGCAGGTGGATAGCCAGGCTACTAAATTCACGAATCGCTGAAACCGACATCGGGGACAGCGTGGTAAAGCTAAAAACTACAAAAGGTTGCCCTCAGGGAGGAGTCTTATCCCCTCTCCTGTGGAGCTTAGTTGTGGACGAACTTCTACGGATTTTCACGGACAATGGCATCCGCTGTCAAGGCTATGCGGATGACATCGTGATTATCGCCAGAGGAAAGTTCGTGAGCACTCTCTGTGATATAGTGCAAAGGGGACTAAACCTGGCAAGAGGCTGGTGCGTGGACATGGGCCTCAGCATCAACCCCTCTAAAACGGTTATTGTCCCTTTCACTAGAAGAAGAACGCTTCCAGGCATGAGGAACATTTCTTTGAATGGGGTCGCCATCAACGTCGCCACCGAAGTTAAATATCTAGGACTAACCCTGGATTCTAAACTTCTGTGGATGGCACATGTTGACGCGGTCACTTCCAAAGCTACGAGGGCACTAATGGTATGCAAACGCCTGGCAGGAAAGACCTGGGGCTGCAGTCCCAGGATTCTGAGATGGATGTATACCATGATAGTTAGACCAATAGTCACCTATGGAGCAGTGGCTTGGGCCTCGAGAACCACCCTCACCACGGTGAGGCAANCTAAACTTCTGTGGAAGGCACATGTTGACGCGGTCACTTCCAAAGCTACGAGGGCACTAATGGTATGCAAACGCCTGGCAGGAAAGACCTGGGGCTGCAGTCCCAGGATTTTGAGATGGATATATACCATGATAGTTAGACCAATAGTCACCTATGGAGCAGTGGCTTGGGCCTCGAGAACCACCCTCACCACGGTGAGGCAATCCCTCACCAAGNAGAGACAAGCTAGGCTCCCAAGTTCCGCTAGCTTTACTCCCCAGAGACGACAGGCCTAAGGTGGTTAACTTTGACAGGAATTTCAAAATAGAGCTTTGCACCAAGGCGACCTGGAGCTCCTCTCTCATGGAGAGGCTGATCCAATCGAGCTCGTTGCAATGGTACACAGACGGCTCGAAGACTCCGGAAGGCATTGGGGCTGGCGTCTACGGGCCGAGGCTACAGCTCTCGGTACCTATGGGGGCATACCCGAGTGTCTTCCAGGTGGAGGTCTATGCCATCAGTCTGTGTGCAGAAATTAACCTACGTAGGAATTACCGTAACGAGAGAATTTTAATATTGAGCGACAGCCAGGCGGCACTCAAGGCCCTCTCAGCATTTGAGGTCAAGTCATCCTTGGTTCTTGAGTGCATAGATAGGCTCAACAGCCTGGCAGTGCACAACAAAATCCAATTAACTTGGGTACCAGGACACATAGGAGTTGCGGGCAACGAAGAAGCGGACCGACTAGCTAGATTGGCGGCCGCCTCGTCGCCTATAGGGCCTGAGCCCTTCCTAGCGATTGGACCTAGTACAATCAAGGAGGAGCTCAGGAAAGAAAGGAACAGACAAAGGAATCAACACTGGCGTAACACTACAGGTTTACGTCAAGCAAAACACCTACTGGGAGGCTACGACCTTACGAGGTACAGGGCAATTGTCAATCTATCCAAAGGAAAACTAAGGATTATAACAGGTTTTCTGACGGGTCACTGCAGACTGAGAGGCCACCTACACAAGCTAGGGATTTGGTCAAACGACCTATGTCGTTTCTGCGACGTGACTGAGGAGACTCCCGTGCGAATGCGTGGCGGTCGCGAGAAGACGGGAGAGGTACCTGGGCCACTACTGGCCAAGTAACGAAGCAATACAATCGCTAATCCCTGGGGATCTCCTCAAATTTTTGGGCTCTCTAGGATTAGATGAGGTACTGTAAATGGTTGAGGGCACAATAGACCTGCTGGTCGCAGTGCATGCCACAGTATATACAGTAATAAACCTTTTTGAGTACTCCTCGGGGGTAAAATCTGATCAGGGTTGATAATGAGAAGGAGCATGCATTTTTTTCATTCAGAGTTGTATACAAAATTACTATGGTATGAAAGGGAGCAGCAACCGTACTATGGCAGAGTGGCACAAGTCATGACTGTCTAATAATGACCGAAATTAATTGCAAAAGTGTAAAACCATTGCANTGAGACGACAGACCTAAGGTGGTTAACTTTGACAGGAATTTCAAAATAGAGCTTTGCACCAAGGCGACCTGGATCACCTCTCTCATGGAGAGGCTGATCCAATCGAGCTCGTTGCAATGGTACACAGACGGCTCGAAGACTCCGGAAGGCATTGGGGCTGGCGTCTACGGGCCGAGGCTACAGCTCTCGGTACCTATGGGGGCATACCCGAGTATCTTCCAGGCGGAGGTCTATGCCATCAGTCTGTGTGCAGAGATTAACCTACGTAGGAATTACCGTAATGAGAGAATTTTAATATTGAGCGACAGCCAGGCGGCACTCAAGGCCCTCTCAGCATTTGAGGTCAAGTCGTCCTTGGTTCTTGAGTGCATAGATAGTATCAACAGCCTGGCGGAGCACAACGAAATTCAATTAACTTGGGTACCAGGACACATAGGAGTTGCGGGCAACGAGGAAGCGGACCGACTAGCTAGAATGGCGGCCGCCTCGTCGCCTATAGGGCCTGAGCCCTTCCTACCGATTGGACCTAGTACAATCAAGGAGGAGCTCAGAAAAGAAAGGAACAGACAAAGGAATCAACACTGGCGTAACACTACAGGTTTACGTCAAGCAAAACACCTACTGGGAGGCTACGACCTTACGAGGTACAGGGCAATTGTCAATCTATCCAAAGGAAAACTAAGGATTATAACAGGTTTTCTGACGGGTCACTGCAGACTGAGAGGCCACCTACACAAGCTAGGGATTTGGTCAAACGACCTATGTCGTTTCTGCGACGTGACTGAGGAGACTCCCGTGCGAATGCGTGGCGGCCGCGAGAAGACGGGAGAGGTACCTGGGCCACTACTGGCCAAGTAACGAAGCAATACAATCGCTAATCCCTGGGGATCTCCTCAAATTTTTGGGCTCTCTAGGATTAGATGAGGTACTGTAAATGGTTGAGGGCACAATAGACCTGCTGGTCGCAGTGCATGCCACAGTATATACAGTAATAAACCTTTTTGAGTACTCCTCGGGGGTAAAATCTGATCAGGGTTGATAATGAGAAGGAGCATGCATTTTTTTCATTCAGAGTTGTATACAAAATTACTATGGTATGAAAGGGAGCAGCAACCGTACTATGGCAGAGTGGCACAAGTCATGACTGTCTAATAATGACCGAAATTAATTGCAAAAGTGTAAAACCATTGCAAATTATTCACCCTCATTGCGCGAGTCGAATCGTATCGAAAATTTCACGTCATTGCCTAAAATTTCCACTCGACTAGTGTATTAAAACGGAAAAACTTGGCAGCACTGTACAATTTTCGACAATTTTCGTCGTTTATTTATTTCAGCACGACAGTAGACAATGCCAATGTTGTCGAGTCGTACAATTTAGCCTAATTTGCGACTTACACAATCTGGCTGATTGTCTATTATTATAGATGCTAGTACAGATTATCATAGTTCAGTGTATAACTTGTTATATTACACCGTACATGATAATGAACTGTTAAATGCTGAAAACGCTTATAACTTGTAGATCAATGAAACTTGGGTGTGCTTAATGAACTGTCTGGGCGGATGCGCTGGCAGGCATTGGAAATTTTGTGAATTTATCAAGCCAAATTCTAAATTTCCGAATATATGTAAGTCTTTATTTAAAAAAAAA